AGCAAATGGTCCTGGGATGCTGCGAGGCAGTAGGATTGAAATATGACCATGTATATCATTAATATTGTGACTGTTAAACAACTGCAATAAATCTTGTACAAAATATTTAATGTAAGGTGTCAATGGAAAAGTTATAATTTGCCAGATAAGATTATTCTGTTTAAATCTATGGATCATTAGAGCCCTGAAAATCTGTAGCTATTTGCACCTCATTTTTGTGGATAGGGATGCAGATACAAATTTTGTATCTAGAACCATGCAAATTAGAACATAAGAATGGCCATACTGGGTCAGACCAAAGGTCCATCTAGCCCAGTATCCTGTCTGCCAACAGTGGCCAATACCAGACGCCCCAGAGGGAAGGATCACAACAGATAATCCTCACGTGTTCCCTCCCCTGTGACTCATCCCCAGAGAAACAGAGGCTAGGAATACCATTGCTACCCATCCTGGCTCACAACCATTGACAGACCTTAGGTCCATGAATCTATCTAGCTCTTTTTTGAATCCTGTTAAAGTTCTAGCCTTCACCACATCCTATGGCAAAGAGATCCACAGGTTGACTTTGCGCTAAGTGAAGAAAAACTTCCTTTTGTTTGTTTTAAACCTGCTGCCTACTAATTTCATTTGGTGACCCTTAGTTCTTATATTGTGGGAATAAGTAAATAACTTTTCCTTATTCACTTTTTCCACACCAGTCATGATTTTATAGACCTGTATTATATCCCCCGCTTAGTCTCCTCTTTTCTAAGCTGAAAATTTCAAGTATTTTTAATCTCTTCATATTGGACCTGTTCCAAACCCTTAATCATTTTTGTTGCCTTTTTCTGAACCTTTTCCAATGCTAATATATCTATTTTGAGATGAGGTGACCACATCTGTACACAGTATTCAAGATGTGGGCATATCATGGTTTTATATAGAGGCAATAAAATATTTTCTCTCTTATATTCTATCCCCTTTTTTATGACTCCTAACACTCTATTTGCTTTTTTGACTGCCGCTGCACACTGAGTGGATGTTTTCAGAGAACTATCCACAATGACTCCAAGATCTTTCTCTTTAGTAGTTGTAGCCAAATTAGTCTCCATCATATTGTATATATAGTTGGGATTATTTTTTCCAATGTGCATTACTTTATATTTATCAATATTAAATTTCATTTGCCATTTTGTTATCCAGTCACCTAATTTGGTAAGATCTTTTTGAAGCTCTTTACAGCCTGCTTTGGTCTTAACTATTTTGAGCAGTTTGGTATCTGCAAATTTTGCCACCTCACCCTTCCTCCAGATCATTTATAAATAAGTTGAATAGGATGGGTCCCAGGACAGACCTTTGGGGGACTCCACTAATTACCTCTCTCCACTTGGAAAACTTACCATTTATTCCTACACTTTGTTTCCTGTCTTTTAACCAGTTAACAATCCACGAAAGGACCTTCCCTCTTATCCCATGACAACTTACTTTACTGAAAAGCCTTTGGTGAGGGACCTTGTCAAATGCTTTCTGGAAATCTAAGTATACTATATCCACTGGATCCCCCTTGTCCACATGTTTGTCGACCCCCCTCAAAGAACTCTAGCAGATTAGTAAAGCATGATTTCCCTTTACAGAAACCATGTTGACTTTCCCTCAACAAATTATATTCATCCATGTGTCTGAATTTTATACTTTACTATAGTTTCAATTAATTTGCCCGGTACTGACATTAGACTTACCGGTCTGTAATTGCCAGGATCACTTCTAGAGCCCTTTTTAAATATTGGTGTCACATTAGCTATCTTCCAGTCATTAGGTACAGAAGCTTATTTAAAGGATAGGTTACAAACCACAGTTAATGGTTCTGCAATTTCACATTTGAGTTCTTTCAGAACTCTTGGGTGAATGCCATCTGGTCCCTGTAACTTGTTACTGTTAAGTTTATCAATTTTTTCCAAAACCTCCTTTAATAGCACCTCAATCTGGGACAATTCCTCAGATTTATCCCCTAAAAAGAATGGCTCAGGTTTAGGAATCTCTCCAATATCCTCAGCCATGAAGACTGGAGCAAAGAATTCATTTAGCTTTTCTGCTATGACTTTTTCATCTTTGAGTGCTCCTCAATCATCCAAGGGCTCCATTGGTTGTTTAGCCAGCTTCCTGCTTCTAATGTACCTAAAAAACATTTTACTATTATTTTTTGAATTTTTGGCTAGCTGTTCTTCAATCTCCTTTTTGGCTTTTCTTATTGTATTTTTACACTTAATTTGACAAAGTTTATGATCCTTTCTATTTTCCTCACTAGGATTTGACTTCCACATTTTAAAAGGTATCTTTTTATCTGTCATTGCTTCTTTTACCACGGTGGCACTTTTTTGGTTCTCTGTGTTTTTTAACTTAGGTATACTTTTAAGTTGGGCCTCTATTATGGTGTCTTTGAAAAGTTTTCATGCAGTTTGCAAAGATTTTACTTTTGTCACTATACCTTTTAATTTCTGTTTAACTAAATTCCTCATTTTTTTATAGTTCCCCTTTCTGAAATTAAATGCCATAATGTTGGGCTGCTAAGGTGTTTTTTCCCACTACAGGGAAATTGGTGGATATACACATCTGAGGATGTGGAAAGCCACAGCTCATTTTTTTGGTTATAGAAGTATATACAAAAAGGCTCTGTGTATCATCACTGTATCTGAAATTATGAATAGTAGCTACATACCTGTGAATCAGATGTGTTTGTTCCAGTCTATCCAGTACATTGGGAATGGACTGTCAAATTTATTAGTTTTGAAATCCTTTTAAGAGAAGGGTATTAATTTTTTGCAGATCTGGCATAATTCTAGGGGTTGGCAATACTGAACATGTCCTGGAAAAATTGCTGATATTGAGGGACAGGATCTACCTGTGACTCAGTCTTTTCAGTGAACAAAATGTATACCAGATTTCATACTCTTAAAAATTTGAGTTGCAGAGACATTAATTAGAGTCATTAATTAAATGTTAACTATAGGCCACAGTGCTAGAATTGTTAATACCCCTAAAACAAGAATTCACTTTTGTAAAGTGTCTCTGTGCAGCCCATGATGTATTCCATTTGTGCCTCCTCTTGTATAATGGGCTTAGGCAGAAATTACAAAACAGGGATTTGGAGCAGTCTAACTAGCACTGGAGGCTGAAGCATGTATGCTGAATGGGAAACAGCAAGCTTACTTGAGCTCTTAGTGGCTAGGAACCTATGATATAGTGGCTAGGAACCTATGATATAGTCTTATCACCAAGTGCTAGTGCAAGAGTTTTATCCCATCTATTCTCGAACAATTCACATATATAATAGAGCAGGCCATAAGCAGGAACTATTTTTAGCTTGCTCTTAAACTCAATTCACACTCTTAGTAGAGTTCACATTCGTCTCTTTGCTGATATTTGATTTTATTAACTCAAAAATTACCAATACTACAACATAAAGTTCATTTCAGACTATCTCCCATAGACTTGCTTGCTTCTAGGGCTCCTCCAGGATTGCTCAACTCACACCCTCAATCAGGGATGGGCAAGCAGCCCGGTGGCCAGATCTAACCTGACTAACACCTCTGTCTGGCCAGCAGCACAGGGGGGAGATCATGCAGGCTGCCTGCTGCTGCCATGTCTCTGTGCGCTCCTTGAGGGAAGGTGCGCAGTAGATTTCTGTGCGCAGCCATGGCCCCCCAGCACTGTCCTCATAGCTCCCATTGATTCCAGCCAAGAGAAATAGCAGCAGCCACTTTCAGGAGTGGTGTGAAGCCATAGTAGGTAGGCAGCCTGCCTAAGCTCTGCTATACTGCAAACCACCAAGCGCCTCCCAGTCAGAGCCTGCTCTTCACACCCCCTCCCACATTCAACCGTCTACCCCAGTCACTTCTTCCTGACCCAAACCCTTCACCTCCTCCTGTACCCAATCTCCTGCCCTACCTTGGAGCTACCTCCTGCACCCAAATTCCCTTCCAGACTCTACATCACCTCCATTAATGCCACGGAAATGTATGACTCGTGACAACTTACCAACATACGTGGAGTGCTCACCCCCACAAATTAGTTCCCATCTCTGCCCCAAATCATCTTTCCAACAAAGCAATGCCTACCTCCCTAATATCTGAGGAAACAGTTATCACCATCAGGAATTGGAAGAAGGGAAAATCACTTACATGTAATTCCACATATTTTTAGACTTCTTAGAGGATTCTCATTTTGCTGTTTATATGTTAAATTGTATCATTTCCACACATACGTTACAGCAAAAATTCAATCTCCAAGTAATTTGTGGACGTACAAACAGATAAAGGGGTTGAGGCCTTTTTGAAAATTTGTCAGTGAGAAACGATTAGCAATTTGGTTTTCTATATTTTTTGAAAAAATACATCAACAGAACAGCATCCCCTAACACCATGCTAAAGCATTGCATCATTGCTTATTTATACATAAGACCACCATCCACTGAATCACTAACACCACCCGCTAAGTATTCTGGGGTTTTCCTCTGAGTCTGCTATTATGCAAGTACTGACCTGGTCTTACACTACCCGGCATTTAAGATCATGTCCCAAGCTATGTTCCTGCTAATCTTTTCCATCCATGTGAGGGTTTTTTCCCATCCATTAGTGGAATAAATTTTTATGTGCATATGTAAACATGCACCACCGGCAGAAACAAAAAAACCTAGCTGTGGGCATGCTCCACTTATCAGCTGGGCAGCATTTGAATCTCTCTGATGAGTGACCACACCAGTGCACAGCTTAAAGGAAACGCTGGTGTCAAATTACATGGCTTCAGGCTAGACAGTGCATACAACTTTGTAATTACTTAATGTCAACTTCAATAACAAATACAATCTTTGGACAACTTCTGAGGATTCTGGATCACAAACACAAAGCATAAGTTTAAAAAAAAAAAGAAGTTGGTTCCTTAGTCTTATATGAGGAAAAAAATGACTTAAAAATAAAAATAAAAAAAAAAAAACAAACAAAGAAGAGAAAAGAAATTGCACTCACCTGCTCACCAGCTTGGGATTCCCCAATGATGAATCGATCCCCAGGGCCATCAGCAGCTGTAAGACAGTACAGAAGAAAGAAGATGATAAAAAGATTGAACCACTTGAAAAGAGAAAAATTAGAAACTGAGAATGGGAGATTCTTAGAATAATGGAAGACTTAGTTTACAGTTGCTTCTTTAGAACCCGTATGAGAGAATGTTTTGGAAAATGTTTTGGACTTTTAGCTCTTTTCAAGATGTGTTTATGAATGTCCTAATCACAGGTTATACAAGTATATTTTCCACCAAAAAATTGCTCAGATATATTCATTGTTCGTAGCTCTTGCATGGCTATGCACAAGTCTGAAAAAATGCAAAAAGAAACCATTGGATATTTATCTTAGTATCAAAGATTACCAGTTGTACAGAAGATTAATAGGATTAAAAACCTTTGCATTTTGAGCAGCGTTACAGGCTGGGGACTGACTGGCTAAGTAGCAGTTCAGCAGAAAAACACATGGGAATTACAGTGGATGAGAAGCTGGATATGAGTCAAGTGTGCCCTTGTAGCCAAGAAGGCTAATGGCATATTAGGGTGAATTAGGAGGAGCATTGCAAGCAGATCTAGGGAAGTGATTATTTCCCTTTATTTGGCTCTCGTGAGGCCACATCTGGATTATTGTGTCCAATGCTGGGCCCCCCACTACAGAAAGGATGGGGATGCATTGGAGAGGGTCCAGCAAAGGGCATCCAAAATGATTAGGGGGCTGGAGTATATGACCTATGAGGAGAGACTGAAGGATTTGGGCTTATTTAGTCAGCAGAAGAGAAGAGCGAGGGGGAATTTGATAGCAGCCTTCAGCTTCCTGAAGGGAGGTTCCAAAAAGGATGGAGAGAGGATATTCTCAGTAGTGACAGATGACAGAACGAGGAGCAATGGTCTCAAGTTACAGAGGTTGGATATTAGGTAAAATTATTTCACTAGGAGGGTGGTGAAGTACTGGAATGGGTTACCTAGGGAGGTGGTGGAATCTCCATCCCTAGAGGCTTTCAAATCCTGTCTTGACAAAGCCCTGGCTGGAATTATTTAGTTGGGACTGGTCCTGCTTTGGGCAGGAGGCTGGACTTAATGATCTCCTGAGGTCTCTTCGAGACCTAGGATTCCATGATTCTATGAGGAAATAGTTGGTTATCCTCTGTGTGAAACTGCCACTAGACAAAGGAGCAGCAGAATTTTGCATATAAAGATTTCTGGATTCCCAGAGCTAGGAATGAATGTGATTTAATGCATTTATTACATAGAGTATAGACAAGCAGTACATCTGACAATTTATCTAAAAGACAATGGGGCTAAGTAGATGTGACTTGCACGTGTCACATTAGAGAATTGGGTTCTGTTCCTACCTGTTTGTGTCAGAGGTGATATTTGAACTTATTTCCTCACTCCCATCCACTGCACTTTCATTTGGACAAAAAGCAATTTTAATGGAGGACAGCATGAGGGCAAAGATTTATAAGCACTGACGTTGGAGCCTTCTGAAAATTAAGGGACACTTTACTGTGTATGTGCAAATGGCAATTTCCCATGGCTGCTCATTAGTCCATATTTGGAGAGATTTTCAAGGGGACAGCAAAGATTATTTCTGCTGATAAGCACTGAGTTTCTGCTTTAGAAGCACTAGAAAGGTTTAAAGAAATAATAAAGAAAAAACTATTGTATTTTCCCTACTCTTATCTTCAGAACATTTTACTCTTTTTGCTGAAACTGAATATATCATTTTGAGGCAGAGACCAAACACAGAAATTATCAGTGTGAACAGCTGGACTTTGAAGCAACTGAAATCATGGGAAGCAGTAAGTATTTGGAGGTGTTAACCATTGGTGTCACTGAGTTGTACCTGTAAGAATTATATTTATGCTTTTATAGTACCTTTCATTTGAGGATCTCTTAAATATTTTACAAATAATAATTAATTCAACCTGACAACCACCTTCTGAGGTATTATCAGTATTTTACAAAAGAATGAGAGATACAGAAAGAGTAAGTGACTAGCTCAAGGTCTCCTAGGTGTATCTAGGAGTCCTAACACTTGGTTACCTATTCTAACCATCAGATCATGCTACATCCAAAAGTGACTACTCTATATGTAGGGGTAGTGTCATTCTAGGGTAAGAACACAGGACTGGAAGTCAGGAGTCTTAGGATTTAATCATTCACTCTCAGCACTGGCTTCTCACAGAATAGACACATTCAAGGTGTCTTTCTCCTTATCTTCAAGGCACACAATATGTTGGGCCCAACATAGCTAGAAAATTGCCTAAAGCTCTGGTGTGAAGACCAGAGTCAGCATAATGAAGCTTTCTATCATAAGGGTAAAGTTCATCTGTGCAGGATATAGAGCTTTCCTGGGAACTAGTCTGAGACTTGTGGAATGAACTCCCACATGTACTATGAATTGTTATAAACCTTACCTCCTTCTGCTCAAGTGCAAGGGGCATGTCTTTGATCTGCTGCAATGGGGAAGATAGCCCACCCATATCGCCAGGGATCTGGTTAATAAGAGCTTGTGGACACAACTGGCCCTGTCCTATTACACCTGCAGTTCTCGGGAATCGAGATGACTCTTAAAGGTAGAAGCTCACCTCAGTTAGGGAATTGACCAGGAAGAGCAGAAAGCAGAGCTGTAAGTCTTCCTTGATAAGGAAGCCTGGTTCCAACCCCAATCCTGAGACAGTCTGCTGCTTGGATGAGACTTCTGGTGCATGGCATGATTGGACCAGAGACTGGGAAAAGAGACTGGTCACTGGAAACAAGCCTTGGGTAGGGCAAGGTCTTGTCAACAAATCCTTGGATGACTTTGCTTTTGAGTTAACTGTTTTCCTTTTATTCTGGACTCTAATGCCCCAGAAGTGAAACTTAAATGTGCCAGGGCCAGAGGGCTCAGACACTAAGGCACTGGGCCTAAGAAGCGAGATACCTGACTGTGAGGGAACCACAGATGATTGCGTTTTGTCTCGATGGGCCATAAGGGAGTGCCATACAGACAACCTGGTTGCACCTTCCTTCTCTATAGATGTACATACAAAACAGAACAAAAAACCTAGCCCAAAGAGAAAACTTTCCAAAACAAACACTATGCTGCATGCAAAATTCTCACCCTAGGGAGAAGATAAGGGAGAAGACAAACCACATTTGGCAGATGTTCATAATGTTATCCAGTGTTCTACTGGAAGGAACTCAGAAATAACAGTGACAAGGGCAGCATAAGAGCCTATCTAAACTAGACTAGATTAGAAATCCTTCCACTGAAATCATAATTGTATAATTGATGTTAATTGGAACAAAATTGAGTCCCTTGGTTCTAATTGTGTTCTTAGAATGACTTAACTTCTCTCACTCTTGGAGACTCCATCTGGAAAATGGAAATCTTTACTATACCTGTTTCCCCAAGGTGTTGTGATACTTATTCTGCTGTGGTCAGAGACTCTCTCTCACACTTACTTACTTCATAATTAGGCTTAATGATTTCACTGAAATGGCTCCTGGAGTAAAGTAATACTCATCATAGATAAGGGCAACAGATTCAAATCTTTCACAATATCACCAATTCATGAGATTTTATCACGAGTCTCACAATATTCAGTATTCTTCTTAAAACCCTATTGACTTAAAAATTGACATAATCTCTTGATTCCAGTAGCTTTTAAGAGTTAGTCTGAAAATCTCAGCTCTCATTAATGAAAAATGTTGCTAGTCCTCCTGATGATAGAAAAACCTGGAAATAGTTGCATCCTAAAAAAACCAGAAATCAGGAGGCAAATAACAAAGCATCTCAGATTTATAGTTTTAAAAACATCTCATGATTTTGAGGCCTGAGTCACTGGGGAGCACATCCAAGGCAACTTTGCTTACCTCTCAGATCTTTTGTACACCTATTGACTTGTTCCCCAGGAAAAAACAGTTTGTTTCAGTTGTTCATCTGCTTCTACCTCTCATTCCTCAATAAAATCACAAGTGGTTACTTTGGGACTGACTATATGATGTATTTAATGGAGAGTTATAAGATAAGGTGAGGAAAAGATAACAGAAGCATATGAATTACTAAGAAATAAAAATGTTGTTTTCATACCAATATTGCTATTAGAGAAACATGAGGGCAAAGAAAGACAAACAATACATTATATAAGCAGATTGGTTTCTAAATAAAATGTGTTTCAATTTTCCATGTGCCACCAGTAGCTACTCAGAAATAATGTAAAAGATAAGCACCAGGGCAGGGCCAGATTTTCAATTAGGCACAACAGGCATATGTCTAGGGCAGGGGTGGGCAATAATTTTTAATGGGGGGCACTTCAAGATTTTGGCAAGTGGTCAAAGGCCACACTTCTATGGAAGGGGTGTGTGGACTGGGATGGAGGTTGGGTGCAGAAGGGAGCTTGGGGTAAGGGACTGGGGTGCAGGAGAGGGTGAGGGGTATGAGATGGAGTGTGGATGAAGGAGGGGGCTGTTATCTGGGGCAGGAGCTTGGGGTGCACGGACCAGGAGGGGATATGGGTGCAGGAGAGGATTCTGGCCTGGGGGAGGAGTGTAAGAGGAGGTGTAGGGTCTGGGAGGAAGTTGTGATGTAGGAGAAGGGGGAAGAGGGGTACAGAGGGTTTGGGTGGTGGCTTGGGACAGGTAGTCAGAGGGGAGAGAGGAGGTGGGGTGTCAGAGGTAGGCTCTGGCTCGGAGGTACTTATCTATGTAGCTCCCAACCAGCAGCTTTGCAGAAACCTGAGGCAGACAGTCTGCTGCAGGCTGCTCACTACTCCACATGGCTCCGCTCCGGGTATGAGTCAGGGAAGGGAGGGAGAAGGCTTCCCACACTCTCCCTGCCCCCAGCAGAATTTCTCAGTTCCTATTGACTGGAAATTTGTCAATGGGAGATGAGAGATTTTGCTGGAGGTGGGAGCAGGGGCAGCATGCAAAGACTCCTTCCTCCCTCCCCAGCTGTCCAGAGTGGAGAGCAGCTGGCTTTTTAAAGCTGAGCTGCTCTCTGACTAAGGGTTCTGGCAAGGTGGCTGCAGGCTGGATCC